TGTTACCACTATAACAACCTGAACAAGCATCTACACACATGAAATTGTAGAAACATGAATTCAAAATAAGTAGGGAGACAGTACCCGAGTTCCAGAAACAAGAATATCTGGATGAACGATCAGAAAATTATTGTCATGATTCACGTCACACTTCCCTTCATCATCAAATTCACCAATAATATTCGCAGTATCTCCAGGTGAAATAACACTGTAAAACCTGAGAGATGAAAAAATTGATAAACACGTGGCCCAGGTAATGTTGAACTAACTACACCAGTTATAATGAAAAGTTTCTAACATCATATCCCACAAGCTGAAGATCACACAAAATACCAATTAAGACTGAAACACAGATCAATAATTGTTTGAATGCCAAAAGCCACAGATTATAGGCATGTCAACCAACAACAGCATAATCTCCACTAGATAGATGAAGAGTTTAAAAAGCCAAGAAAAGTTACCTTTAGTTTATCAAGGGCAAGTATGTAAATGATTGAAACCACATAGGAACAGTGGCCAGTCAAAGATTATGTTTGAAGGCTGATATTATCAGAACATTGAAATGGGCAATTCTGGATGAGAGCTAACGGATATTGTTAGAAATTACACTATTTGATATTAACTACAGCTAATACTTTCAGCTATCTTGTATTCATATTTAAATGTAAGATTTATACCCAGATAGGGTAATACAAAATTTTCTTCCATAGTCACTTACATGGTATCAGAGCAGAGCAGAAAAGAAATAAAGAACCCTAGTGTCAGGAACAAAGCACAGTGCAGGAGATATTAGGATCGTTTTCTGTTATTCCTTTCCTTGTATTTTCCTTTGGCTAATTCAGTTAAAATATAACTGTTTTAGACCTGTGGGTAAGACAGACTAGAATGTCAGCTACCAAATTTTGACCTGGTTGTTCTATCCAGATGAGCTGGTACTAGTACAAATACTATACCGATGGAGGAATATGAGAAAAATCTGCAGAAATCATTCTACTACCTCTCTACTTCCTCTTTCTTCTCTCTATTTTCTCCATTCTTCTCTACTCCCTCTATTTCCTCTCATCTCTTTTCTCCTAACCTCAATATCTGAGGGCCTATTCCGGCCATGTCATGAGTCAGTAGTTTGACAACTAGCTAATAGAGCAACACCAAGTATTAGGACTGATAGAGTTGAAATATAGGAGATTGAGCAAACCTCTGATCAAGGAAATTAGTTAGGGTAATTATTTTCTACAGCTAATACTCTCCTAGTTTAGCTCTCTTGTATTCCTATTTAAATGTAATGTGTACAGCCTACCTCAATAATGGCAATACAATATTTTTCTTTTTTCTGAAATAAATACAATATTTTTCTTTTATATTCACTTATAAATGTCCTAAGTACGTATATAATAGAATTCGGTTTTAGGAAAACCTTGGTAAATTGATTCAATGAGAAAAAACTATAAATCAAGAAAGCTGAACTATTTTACCATTCTTCCCACAAATACACAGCACGCTCTTCCCCACTTTGCTCATTTAGTAAGCGAATAACCTAAAAGCCAATTAGAAACATTTTAAGTGTATTCAAGAAACTAAGTAATTTGTATATAATGCTTTTCTCTACCTTATAAGGGCATTGAGCACCAGAAGAGCCAGCAGGTCCATGCTTCTCAGATACCTGTGGAAGATAAATACTCCAACAAAATCAATATGAAAAGCACATTGGTTCATAAAAATACCAAAAAGAAAAGAAAAGAAAAACACACCTCTAAGACAAGGAAATAGCAACTTGAGAATGTCCCTGTGACCTTCTCCGGATGATCCATTGCAGGCCTTTCTGCAGCAGAATCAACTTTTAGAGGCACTTCATTGCCACATCTAACCTGAACTTTGGATGAATTTATCCCTATGTTGGCTGCTAAGTCATCAACAGAGATGACATCTTCCACTTGATCTAGAAGTTCAAGCAATGCCTGAAGTAACAGACGATAAATTTCTTGTAAAAATAAGACTCTTTATGCTACTTATCATTTGCAAAGCTAAAACCATGCAACTGAAGTCTGCAGCTTATCCAGGCCTCGTCTACGGAATATAAAATGAACAAAAAGGAAAGTTAAGACAATTCAACAACATGGTGTGGTAAACTTTTCTGAGGAACCTTTCTATGCTGCCTTTGATCCAGCTGATCAGATGCTCCATTGGATGCAATGACGTTAGCCAGCTGCATTTAAACCATATTATGAATCAGAAAATAAAATCAAATATCCTCCGCCCATGTCAGATTAAAAACGCAAATATATTAAAGAAAAACCGGAGAATTATATTTGCACAGCAATTGCACCCATAAATTGAACAAATCAAACCAACTGAACTTAGCAAAATAAAACAGTAGACTCAGTTGAAAATATTTCTTCACTTTTTTCACTTTTTTCATCTTGTCATAACAGTGTCTTCACTCCATGAATTTAATAGCCCAATAACCTACTTTCCTCATATGGAAAAGGGAATAAGGAAAAACTGGCTAGAAAGCTGAAGATTATGGAACATTTTTACCTTGTTATGGCAATATAACAGAGATGGTGGAGTTCGGAAAGGACTTTGTTGACTAGCCGATGAGTCATCAGTGCCAGCAACACTGCCACAAAGATCACCATTTTGACATGGGTTTGGCCTTTTCAAGTCAATCTTATTTGCAGAAACCAAAGATCTTTCAACGGCTTTCTTTGAGGGTGAAGAAAGCCACTTCTCAACCTTGCAAGCAGTACCAGGAGAAGTACATAAACCCTGTACAATTCTTTGTCAAATGACTATCTAAATTAACTAGTTAAAAGGAGCCAAAATCAAGAAGAAACGTGCCTTATTTTCCGAGCATTGACGAATGTTGAAGGAGCTGATTCTTGATGAATTTGCTAACTCTTTTATCACAGTTGGTGTTTGCTTTGTAACGGCTTGTAGTCTTTCGTTCACAGGAGAAATTCTCCATGTGACCTCATCACCTCCATCATGCTGACTCTGCTTTATCAACTGCCGAGACATTTTGTTCCGTATCAATTGTCATATTAACTAACTAAAGCATAATGTGAAACCCAGAAAGACATTTTCATGTCCATCAAAATTAGGAGTATTTCCATGCAAGAAACCCATTGATTTTTTTAATGAAAATCCAAGGAATCTTCGTACTTTGAAATACCATAATAACGAGCCATTAAAGCAAAAGAAATAGAAGTTACCATCCCAGGAGAGAACTTGAAGCGCTTGAGAGACGATGACTTGCGGATTTCAGGGGACACCTCGGTCAGTTCGTCTTTAGCAATAGCACCCACTGCAATGAGATTGTCAGAAGGCGTATTCTGCGAGAAACAACTCAACTCAACTGGCTTTTGGGGCATGGAAACGACGCTATTGTTACCTATTGTTGTTGAATTGGCTTCCTTTTCAAGGTCTTGCGAAGTTGTACGGAGTGTACCAGTAGGTTCTCGATGTATGGAAGCTGATTTACTTTGATCAAAGGTAACAGAACGGACAACATTATTGGGGTTCTCACTAAATCCCGAGCTGGTAGCCTTCGATAAATTAAGGCCATTAACGGTGCTGACGGAAGTCGGAGGAGCGTCATGAGAAGCAGATATTGACGGATTCGTAGGAGGTTTAGGTTTTTGAAGAGCGGGAACACCGACACTTTGGGAAGCTAGGAGGGCATTTTGGGTGTGGCGCTCGAAGAAATGATGGATGCCGAACTTGGAAGGCTGCTGCGACTGTTGATTTCCTGCAACGTTCGATTTCTTTGAAGATGAAGAAGAAGATGTAGACTTTTTTTTCTTTTTAGGAGGCATTTTTCCTTTGTTTTCTTCTCTGGAGGAACTTTCTTCCTTTCCGGCGAGCACTACCAATAAAATCTCGAGCTTTTTACTACATTTCACTTGTATAACAGCTCTGCACCAGACACCAAGAGGAAGATAGAGTAGAGATCGAGTAATTGGAGCTGGGTTCGTGCGGCTACAGCATTTCCCGCCCAAACTCTGTAATCTCTAATTTAGCGGGCAAACTCCGAGGTTCCCCCGGATCGGGTCGTTCGTATTTGACCCAACTTTTTCGTCGAAGCCCGACCCGATTGTTTCAATGTTTGAGTGCACAAGCCCAGGCTAAATATTAGAAAAACAAGCTTATACTAGTAATTAATCTATATTTATTTATATTTAATAAATACATATTTGTATTTATTTAAATTTGGATTTCTTTTTTAATATTTTTTTAAATTCAAAAATAAATTAAACCAAATTTATTTCATTATAATTATATTATTTCTATAATATTTTTTATTATGACAAATAATATTCATAATATGTGATAATATATTAAAATATAATATAATTTCATTTTTAAATCATTGAAAAGCAATTCTTATTCAAAATTTGAGATATCATAATGTTTTTTTTTTGTAAATTTATTTAAAAGTTAGCATATAATATCTCAATTCAACATTAAAAAATATAATAAACTATTAAATTACATATGTAGCGTATATACATGCCCAATACTTTCATTGCGCAAATAAATAAAATAAAAATAGTCTAAGACATTAATTAATATAATATATTAGTAAAAAATCAATTTAATTGTATTGCTTTAATTAATAAAACATATATAAAACTAAATTTATTACTCTTAAGATTAATTAATAAAACATAAACTAATTAATCTAGGACATTAATTAATAGCATATATTAATAAACAAAAAAACAATTAATTTAATTCATTAATAACATCCTAGTGGATTAATCAAATACATAAATTAATAAAAAAACAATTTTATTATTATAAGATAGTAATTAATAACACATATTAATGAAATCAAAATTAAGTAATCATATTAATTATTACCAACTCAATTAATCTAAAATTAATTACTAATGAAGTTGTACATGTATGTACAATCACGCAGACATCAACATTTATCAATGTAAAACATAAACTAATAAACAAAAATTAATCAATTTAATATAATAATTAAACTCAATTAACAAAAAAAATCAATTAATATTCATCAAAATTAATTAATAATCTCCTTTTCCCTTTCATAGTAGTCCACCATATGTGGACCTCGCCATGCATAAATTAAAAAATATATATATATATATTTATTGACATATAGAATAAATTTAACACATTTTTATTATTCATAGTTCTCATAAATTTGTTGTCCGCGATGTCATCTAGTAAATTATTGCAGGTTGTAATGTATAGAACTTAGCTACACCCAATTCATTCAATTTGAGACATAAAAATTATATATTTTAAATAAATTTTCACTTCATTTTATTTTACCGTTATATATTACAAATGCAAATGAGAGAAATTTAATAAATATGTTGATACAATTAACCTCTATTCTCTAGCATTTGCTTGTTCTTTATGTTACCATATTCTAGAAAAAATTTAAATTTTCTCTCTCAAAATTTATTGTCTTTATGAAAATTGTATATTTTTTTACAATTTCTTTTACTTCTCATATATGACTAATTTTTAGTTTCGATACCCATATTATATAGATATTTATTTATATTTATTAAATTTATCTCGCGTGTGTTTTTTAGTGATGAGATAAAATATTAATTTTTTAATTTAAATGTTATAATCTATATTGATTAATAAGCAAAATGTGTTTTATCGTATTTTTATAATAACAACATGTATTATAACGGCCCCGTGAATTTAAATGAAGATGTATGTATTAAAAATTTTAAATACGGAAGTGAAATAAAAATTTTAATTAACATCCATTACACAATAACCATAAACGTATTCAACCTATAAAAGAATAAGTTAATCAAAAGAAATACTCGAAATAAAAACTATAAATAGAACTATAAAATCTTTAGGCATCTAACTCGCCGTCTTCATGCGGAACGGGCTCGGGAACCACGTCTTCCTGTTCTGAAATGGTTAAGTAAGGAATTAGCTACACTAGCCTAGTAAAGATATGACACTATCTCACTGTCACATGAGTAAATGTTGGTAGAAAACAAAAACGACAAATTGAGCATAATTTATAACAAACTTATTTATTAATGATAAAAACTTTTACCGTTTACTTACATCGGTGAAATTCGTGAAAATAACATATAAAAACAATAACATTATAACCATTATAAAATCATATACACTTTGTAACATAACACATGTTATACTTTTGCACTTCAATAATCAGACAATAAATTTTCTCTTTTACCAGTCCACTAGTATTCATGGGGACCCATAGGGGGTTCCCACTACACGTGAACCATTAACATTAATAACTTAATTCCAGAGCCGTCCCCATACCCCGTCCGGTATGGGCGCCAAAACACATAAGATCTCCATACTCCGTCCGATATGAGATACCACGTTCCCGGTAGGGTTCCCTACGAACCCAGTCTGTCCACCATCTCCTATGATATCTAGTTAGGCTGTCCACATTATCCATTTATCAATTCACATAACCTTTTTCAATTTTCCTGGGTCTCAATTATCAAATCAAACATAAATACGTAAACCAGTAAAGAACACCAAACAAACAACACAACATCGGGTTCACCATAATTCAAAACATAATAAATGAAACTGGGATTCATGCATACGAAACCATTAAATAACCACATCAAGTACCATATTGCATTCGAAACTATAAAATAGATCAAACAACAACTGACCGACAAATACACCAGATTCGGACTCCATTAGCAACCTTAAGCAATTATACACATCCATTAATTCACGAAAATACTGTTGTATCATTTATAGAACTTTAATACCGTGATAGGAAATAAGGTGAGAAATATTCACTTGTTTCAGGGTATGAAATCGGCTCTACAATGTGCCTACGGGCTGTCCCTAAATTCGCTGAATTTTTCCTAAAAAATTAAAACGCCTTACCGGTACCTGCACGTGTCCCAAAAAATCCCAAATAAGACTCAGTCCCCTTTTTGGCATATATCATAATTTCGACACGACATCTCCGCCGCGCTCCAGCGACGACACCGCCGCCCGCGGCGGTGATCCGCCTCGGGTTGGTCGAATTTGGCCGAATTCGGCCAAACTTACATTAATTCCTGCGATAAAACAACCCTAGGGCTCTCGGTGGGCCAAAAAATCATGAAAAACTGATACTTACCAGTGACAGAGCTCTCGGGTGCGGCGGCTTTTCCGGCACGAGTCGCGATTTGATATTTTACTCCGATCAACCTGTAGAGAAAAGGACGGTGATCACAGTGGTGTAAAAATTGCATCGAACGGGAACCAGAAATGGCCTCATCGGAGTTAAAATTGAGAAAGCCGCGGCGGCGCTGCTGGACTTCAGCGGTGTTTTCGGCCGATTGGCCGTGGTTTGGCTCCATTTGGCCATAGGCGGATTCAGCATCGAAAACAGGCCAATGGAAGAAAATTTACTTTGTTTGGCGGTCGGAAAACCCTCCGGTACGGTGGCGAATGGCGGCGGCCGTCTCCTCAAACGACTGGTTCTTCTTTTCCGGCGAGGGTATTCGCGACTAGGGTTTGGGGTCAGGTGTGGGTGAAGTAATTTATAACTTTCTCCTTTTTATCTCACCCGTTCATCACGATTTAATCTGCACTGTCTGATCGCGATTAATATGGGAATAAATTTGGGTCGTCCGTACGTAATTCAATCTGAGCCGTCTACACGCGTGAGATCTGGACTGTCCCTACTCGTAAGAACTGAGCCGTTCGCACGTGTGAGATCTTGACCGTTCGATCGCGTGTATGCGGATCGCTCACAGGGCTCTGTCCCGCACGGTCTCTCACGTCAGCTTCTTTGCCATGCGGCGTGTTCTGGTTGGACTGTCAGATGACCTAAACATATGGCTCTCCTCAAGTCCTGGAGTCGAACCTGTTGTGTGGTCCTAATTTGCCTGCATTTTGAAACCATCAAACCCCCCCAAGATACCTGCACTTTTCCTGTTGAGAGCATCTTCTACCACGTTGCCCTCACCCGGATGGTATAAGATATCACAATTATAGTCTTTAAGGAGTTCCATCCACCTTCTCTGACGTATGTTAAGATCCTTCTAAGTGAATATGTGTTTTAAACTCTTATGATCGGTATAGATTTGAAAGGTCTCTCCGTATAAATAGTGACGCCAGGTTTTCAAGGCGTGTATGATTGCGGCAAGCTCCAAGTCATGAGTGAGATAATTCTTCTCATGATTCTTTAACTGTCTGTACCCATATGCTATGACATTTTCATGTTACATCAGGACACAACCCAAGCCTAGATAGGAGGCATCACTATAAACTGTATATCCCATCGATCCACTCGGTAAAGCCAGTACGGGTGCAGTAGTCAGCCGCTTCTTTAATTCTAAAAAACTTTTTTTGCAGTCCTCATTCCACTCAAATTTGACATTCTTCTTCGTGAGTCGGGTTAGAGGAGCTGCTAGGCTGGAGAATCCTTCCACAAACCTGCGGTAATAACCTACCATCCCTAGGAAACTCCGAATTTTCTTAATTGATGTCAACTTCTCCCAGCCAAGTACCGCTTCAACCTTTTCGGGATTCACTGAAACTCCTTCCTTCGATATGATGTGTCATAGGAAGACGGTTTGCTCAAGCCAGAATCCACACTTACTCAACTTTGCATATAACTTCTTGTTTCTGAGGACCTGCAAAACTTGGGCAAGATGGTGAGCTTATTATTCTCTGCTTTTTGAGTAGACTAAGATGTTATCGATGAACACGATAATAATTTGATCAAAAAACTCTCTGAAGACTTTGTTCATCATATCCATAAAGATTGCTGAGGCGTTGGTTAGCCCAAATGGCATGACCAGGAATTCATAGTGTCCGTACCTGGTTCGAAAGGTCGTATTAGAGATGTCTTATGTTCTTATCTTCACCTGATGGTAACCTGATCGCAGGTCTATTTTAGAGAAGATCTGTGCATCCTGCAGCTGATTGAAGAGGTCATCAATTATGGGAAGGGGATATTTGTTATTGA